TTTCCCTAATTCACCTACTCATATAATCCTTTCATCCAGCTGTAATTTCTCCCATCCTGCCCCATGCCTGACCCCTCTCCCTCCAAGATTTACAACACACACATTCATTTGATCTCAGCAACCAGCTGCATCAGAGAGGTTTCGTCTGCTGACGTGGAGGAGAGCTGGTATGTCCCTTTCAGCAGGGAGGCTACAGTCAGAGCCACCCTGTCCCTTTTGGACTCATTAACCTGTACTTTCTGCATTGCTTGTCAGCCAGCTCACACCTTCTCATTGCTCTCCAGGAGGAAAGGCTGGCTTTATAATGTCTGGAGACCAGGAAAAGTGCCCTGGAAGCCAGATACTGTGCTGGCCTTCCTCAAGTGGCCGTGAGAGGTAGTAGATACCTCCTGTGACACATTCATTAGACATCTGGGCATGCCAGTTTGCCAGGTCATCGTAGTTGTTAAGAGACTGACACCAATTGTAGCAATTCAATATGATTGCTGTGACATACCATTGGTTTTACTCCCCTTTTTAATTTTTTGGGTCTCAAAATAATTGTAGCACTCTTTTTGTTATCAGTGTTTCCACTTCTTGTGATTTACTTAGATTAAAAAAAAAAAAAAAAAACAACCAAACAACCAAGAAAAATGCCAAATACAAGTGCTAATTAAAGCATTAGGACTTAAATATGTCTGCAGTCAGCTCCAGTCAGTGGGCAAAGTGAAACGTCGGTCTCCATAGGGCTGGGAACACTTAGACCTGTTGGTCCTCAGAGAAAGAAATAAGCAAAAGGCTTTATGTTGTAAATGGTTGGAAAATGTCCAGGAAAACAGACACAGAGAATTAGTTACTGGCAAGTCAGGAGGTAGGAATGACTATGAAGTGAGCACACTCACCTGCCTATTATAAATACTAACACTGGGGTCCACATGTGGTAGACTATACTTGAAAAGTTTGCTTTTTGTTTCCCACATAACCTCCCTTTCTTCTCTCTCCCTTTTAATCTTGCAGTTATTGCACTGGAGGAAAAGGTCATCAGTAAACTTGGAGACAATGCTACGCTAAGTTGCATTTACCGAGCAAGAGAATTGCACTTGGAAAAACTACGTGTATATTGGCAAATAGCTGATGATCAAGAAGAGTGTTCAGTTGTGCATGCACTGATCTCTGGTCATGAAAACGAAAGTGAACAGTGTATTCACTTTAAGAACAGGACTCAATTATTCTGGGATAGATTGAAAGAGGGTGATTTTTCTCTGCTACTACAAAATGTGAGCCAGAGCGATGAACATACGTACAAATGTGTTGTACTGCAGAAAACTGAATATACCAAAGTGATTCACAAGGCAGAAGTGGTTCTCAGTTTAGCAGGTAAGAACTTGTATCACTTGCACATATTTGCCTAAATTCTCATCTCAGGTTTTCAAATTTGTGCCATTTCAATATCCTATTTAAGCATACTCATAACTTTGAAACATCCTTTAGTACTTTGCTGAAATGAAGTCTGCTTAATTTAAATGTTACAGACAGGGAATCTAAAACTAGGAGAATACCCATAACAGCTGTTTAACCAGCATGTTTTCTTTTCATCGTGATTTCTGTTAACATAAGGGCTCTTGCACATGCCTGGGGACAGCAGTTTAAGAAGTTGCTTTCTTCCTTTGGGTTTGGCTTCAGCTTTCTGTCCTTCCAGTAATTCTCTCAGCTCCCTGGCTTATGTACCAAACCTGCAAGTGTTTCCCTTTCAAGTCCTGGGTGTCATGTGAAACCCAGAACCCATGAGCCCATGGGTTCAGAGCCCATGTCAAAATTTTGCCTTTTCAAGATCTTTCAATATGTCAATGACTATTTCTTTTTCTCTTGCTCTCCAGCTAGTTATAGCCAACCAATACTCAGTGGACCAATAAGAAACAGTGACAGCACTGGAGAGGAGGTGACTTTCAGCTGCAGGTCTGGCAGTGGATACCCAGAGCCCAATGTTTATTGGATAAATAAAACGGACAACAGCCACCTGCCTCCATCAGAGCTAAAGATCACCCCCCACACTGATGGCACTTACAGCGTTTTTAGCACACTGAAGGTTAAAGCCACTTCTAACATGCAAATAGAGTGCTCCATAGAAAATAAAATACTGCAGGAAAATCTATCAGCCAACTGTAAGTCCCTCCACACTACTTCATGTTTTCTAGATAGCAAGAATATCAACAAGCGTGTCTCTGTCTGTAGTTACACACCAGTGAGGGGTATGCATTCAGTAGTTCCAAAAAGTGTGGAGAAGAGCCCAGGTTTTGTTTCAAGTCAGTTACACTTAGCTTTGCACTTCACATTTACCTTTTCCACACTGAAGCGAACACCCTATCAAGCATGTTATGACAGTGGCCCTGAGAAGCTCTTGGATCCAAGGCAGTCACTGGGCTTTGCTCTTTGATTCCTCGAGAACACGACGACTTGGAACATCAGGTTATTTTTAAGGGAGCACCATACAACAGATCCATGATTCCTGGACCCTTACTTGAGTGCTGTGCAGCAGTCATAGGTGCTTTTTACTTTGCCTAGGTTCAAAGTTCTGTTTTCAGTCTCCAAAATTCAGTTTAATTCAGTGCACTGTTTAAAGTAGGCCTGTAGCAAATAGGTAATACTAGCCCCTAATAACACAAGTATAATATGCTATTTATTGCTCTTATGAGTCATCAGTAGTAAACCCATGTATTTAGTTACTCAAGTCTTCACAAAAATAGAAAGCTATTTAAAAAATTATGAAAAGTTATAGCTGTAATACTAATAGTAGAACTCATGATTTCCAAACAGCTGTGTAGAGAAGCTAGCTAGAGTGGGAGAGCTTATCTGTTCAGTCTCATTGCAGTTCCTGGTCCTGCCTCGCACCAGCACCTTTCTCTCACAGGTTTCTGCATCCTGGTGCAAGGATGTTTGGTTGTTTGCATAACTGTAGGTGGATACCCACAGTTAGTTTACCTGAATATGCCAAGGAATCACATACTCTGAACTTAGTGACACTGATCCCACAAACGTAGCCAAACGATATAAATTATTTCCAGGAAAAAAAATTGCATGCACGAGGAAAAATTGCACTGTAGAGTATTTATATGATAGTTTTCCTTTAATTTTGGATGACAGAAAGGGTATGCTAAGTACGCTTGTCATTAGTTTCTCAATAGCATTCTGTCATATTGTATTCTAGGGGGAAAAGACCTTACTCTCACTGGTTTTTGTTTGCTTCTGAAAGCACTACCACAGTTGAAATAGTAAGAGATGTGATTCGAAACCTTTGGTTTGCAGCAGTCAGTGGAAATGCATCACTATCTTCAGGGAAACAGGTTTTCACCCACTTTTCTGAATACTATCGGATTTACATTACAGATTCTGTATAGATTTATTTTGAACTGAGTCTAGATACAAGCTCAAACAATCTCCCAACGCTGGCAGGAAAGACGAAAGAGGAGAAAGAGGAGAAAGAAAGACAGATGCACATGGTATGATGACAGGGAGGAGTAAACTGGCACTGTATTATTAGACAGTGTAAGCTGGACACATGCCTTGCTCAGAAGAAGTACCATGAGAAACACAGTGATATGAATAGCACAAACATTTGTCCTTCAGAAGCTTTTTTTGTGCATGTAAAATATAGTCAAATATTTGCCTGGCATGATATGTGAAAGTTTACACATTATTACATTCTTTTTCTATCTTATTCCAGACACACAGCAAAAGCAAAGCAATGGTTCTAGTACAGAAAGACCCCAAAACCTAGAAAAAAATGGACAAGGTGCTCAAGCAGCTGGCATTGTTTCTGTTGTCATTCTGATGGGTATTCTAACTGCTTTAGGCTGCTGGCTGTGGAGAAGGAGGTCCTCTAAACTAGTGTCCTACACAGGTAATGAAGCCTTTCATCGGCATGACCAAATATGAAGAATTATTTTTCATTTGCCAAAATACTTAATGTCATCCAGTATGTTGCTAGAAGGTGCAAGTAAGCTGCCTCCCCACAACAGCAGGAAATCATGCTGTTATCAAAAACCTGGGGAGCACTGGGCTTGGGGGGCTGATCCACCTCAACTGTGGTGGATGTTCCTTGATATTAATCCTATTTTGCTGAAGATTCTAGTTATTTATACCACATGCTTTAAACAGTGCATTTATTTCAACAGATGTGCAACTGAATGAAGACAAAGGAATCAGCTGTAAGTATTAAAAAATGTATTACTGTATGTGTTTCAACAGTGACTGAACTCCATAGCTTGAGTATTCAAGTTCAGCACAAAACCTTTGGATTAGGCTTGCTGGATGTTACAAACTCAAACATATAAAGCTGTAGGCCTGCTGCTTCTTCTCTCAGCCCTTTCCATGAGCTCTGTAAATGTTGCCAAAGGTAGCCCGAGAGTTTTGGTTCCCAGAAGTTGCTTCAACAGTTCAGGCCAAGGGAATGAATCAGAACAAATCAACAGGGGACACAGTGTATGTGCTGAAGCCACCCTCTCCTCCTGTTCTACAATTATGCTGAAGCTCCTGTTGCCATCAAGACAGAACCAAGCTAATTTTTAAGTCTAGACAACACTGACCATTTATCACTTCATGTCATGTCAGTGCCTATCATCAAATGGTTATTCCCTGCCTTTTTAGGCACTACGTCCTGGAAAGTCTTTAGCTGGGATGCAGGAACATAATTTGTTTCATGTATATTAACCTGTATCTGTGAGCCTATATACACCCAAATTTTAAAAAATACTAAACACTCTCCTTTATTAAAAATATATTAAAAAAATACACAGTTCAGACCATATCATGATTTTTGATTTTTTTTTTTTGAGCCAGAATGGAATATTGCAGGCCAGCTGGTTTACAAATTCCTTTCTCATTTATAGTGGGGGTAAATATAAAAACAGGACAAAAAAAAAAAAATCGAAGACAGATATGGAGAAACTGACTTAGCACCGAGGACTTGTGAGAGTACACAGAGGGTGAAATATCTGCCTATTTTATATCTCATTTGGTACTTTCTACTGAAGCAAACGACTGTTGCTTGGGTATCTCTGCAAAGCAGGGAGAAAATACTGTGGTTTCACCAACACTGTAATAGTTTTCTGTAGCAGATGCTGTGAATGTACTCAATTCATAATATCAAGCTGAAGCAAAATAACCCTTAAATTAAAAATTTTTGGAAGTTTTTTGGTCATTCAGGCTGGGTTAACAGTGAGTTATTTTCCAGACCCATCATGTAACCCCAGCCTGATCCACAACATCTGTGTTTGCTAAACATCAACAGGCATTACATTGTTTCTTGTAGAACATAATGTAGAAAGGAGGATGGGTTTTTCTCCTTAAGATGCCGAAACATTTTTCTCCTTTTCTTGTAAGTTGCATAAACAGAATACAAGCAGTTTGTTTAACATCAACTTTTTCTTCTCCAGACTTACTTACACCAGCCTTATTTGATTATAGCCCTGGACTTTGCTCATAAGTAGAAAAAACTCTAACATAAATTGGAATAAATATTTATCTTATATTGAAGGCTGCTGTAGCATAATTTGTTTGCTAACAACAAGACAAATACACACTTGCCTTCCAGATGCTATCTTTTCCTTGGCATGTCTCTGCACCTTTTGTGGAAGGGAAGGTGAGACGGTAACTTTGGTGCTTCCCTGCTATCAGAAACTGTCCCACATCTGAGGACTGTGTTCTGCCAACAGAGCCACATCAGGCATGGAAGGCAGTGTCTTTTGGGCGTCCCAGTCTGAGAGCAAGCTGGCCCAGTACCAGAGAAATGAAAAAGATCTAGGGAATGTGATCCCTGATGAAAGTTTAGTTATGTTTGTTTAGGCTGGAGAAGGCAAGGCTGATGAAGGAAACAACTCTATTAAAGAGAGAGTCCTTAAGGAGGTTGGGATGAGTTATTTATTGTCCTAACCCAGAGGACACAGTGCTTAAGGCCCAACAGGCTTAAAGGAGATTTAAGTTAGACAGATGTTAGGAGAAAATACCTTTCTAAGGGTAATAGTAGTTGAGCACTAAGGCAGAGACTTTGTTCAGTCTGTCAAGTCTCCATCAGTCCAAGTTTGTTCTGTTTTTTTTCTTAACAAAAGAGGAAACCAGTATCTGTCAGAAATTTAGAAATAGCTGGTAGTACCCTGGGCCAAAAGATGGGCTTTTGCAGAAATTCTAGCCCAGTTCAATCATCATTTGATATTTTCAATCAAGTTGTGCGTGGTAGATGTAGAGTAAGGCACTGGGAAGGTACACCTGTGGCAATACTCTACCATGGTATTTTGATTTTCATTGCTGATGTAAATAGGTTTTGCTTCTAGCAGTTTCACTTTATGAAGAAGGTCAGATTCTTTCACAGGGAGTAAGAATACTAAATACTGCAAATCAAGAAGTCTACTGAGAGTAGTTTAGCTGTTACCAAAAAAAAAGTTTTGGAAACTGCAAGGAAGGCAGGTTGCAAAGAAGCGTAACTTCATCCTGGTGGGATTAGTCTTTCCAGACACCCACTACAGTCAGTGGAGCAAGATGGTCCAGTGGGGAGGAGTTCAGAGCTGGAGCAAATCTGAATTCTTCTCCAGAGGCATCCCTTCACTGCCTGTGTAGAGTAGCCTCAGGAAGCTGTTTTCCCTTTACCACAGATCAGCTTTGTGCATCGCTTTTTCTAAAGTAGTTTAAAATGAGCTAAAGGTGACACTGATATCCCTTCACAAGGGAGGGGGGTGTTAGCAGTAGAACACTTTTTGCATTTACACAAAAAGAAGCACTTCCAGTCTGTGGCACAAGGGCAGAGGGCCCCTGGTGTCCTGGGTATCCAGCACAGGCAGGACTTCACCCCACCCAGTTCTCCCTCTCAGCAGCATCAGTCCATCTTTTCCATAGCTTTGCAGCTTGTTCTGCTGGTTATGCAGGAAAACCATCTTTACTATCTGATTATTTCTGGGGGATTTTCTTCTATTTTTTTCTAAAAATAACTTTTGTTTTTATAGCATGTGTCTAAATGGAAAGTCTGCCAACAATTTGAGAAGCTGGAGATGTGTCAAGAGAAGCATCACTCCCTATCTCCGTGGCAGCATTGCTTGTAATACAAGTGACAGATTTCTGCAGAGAATGCCAAGAGAGATGGCAAAAAAAGCTTCTCCAACATGAGAGACAGTTCTCCAACCACTGGCTGTGTCCACACAACGGTTGTGTCACCACACCAGCTAACAGCTTTTGACAGTTCTCTGTGATAGTCTGTCAGTGTTTGCAGCTCCTGCACTGGAGAGAGCAGTAAGCTTGGGACTTCTCTACCCTGTGCCAGAGCACTGAAAGCTAGTGAGTGCCCAGTCTCTCATCATCACCACCTCTGAGGGCTTCATTAGTAGCAGAAGAAACTGTGTTTCAAGAGCGTGGGAAGTTCTTTCTTTGTCTCCTCACCCTGACAATGACTACTGAATGTGAAGAAAGGCAGCTGAAAAAAAAAAAGAAGAAAAACTGAAGGACCCTGAGAAGTGAGATTTGTGACCTTTTCCACCTTTCTTCCTCCGCAGTATATCCTTCCATTGCGTGGTTGCACCAGATACATGTTACTGTGTACAGAACTAGGTAGAACGTTTTGACTCAGTCCTGCAAAAACGGGTGTTGCTCTGACAGGGTTAAGCACTGAATGCGTGAACATAAAGAAATGAGCATCCTTTAAATGCACTCAATATTGACATTTTGGGTTTTATCAAATATTCCACTGAAAAGGGGACTTCCACATTTAACAGAAGCCAATGTATACTGCATGGTAGAACAAGTTCCAGAAATCTGACCAACTGAAAATACTGGTCTGTGGTATCTTAAATGCTGGGTTACCTGGACTTACCATTTTCAGGATAGAACAAATACTGTGGTCTGGTTCTGCTTGACTCAGCTGGTCTTTAAGCACTCCCCTGTAGCTTCCAGGGAGGATTTTTAAACAGAAATTTTTAAACTGAACCTCTCCTTGTGTCCCATCCCTCTACCCTGCCTTCACTGTGAATGTCCAGAAAGCCAAGAACTGCAGTTTCCTTGTGTTAGTGCACATACCTTGCTCTTTCAGCCCCAGGTCAGCCAAGAGAAACTGGTTGAAAATAGTAAAGCACTAAATTTTGTATGGTGTTTTGAATGAGGAGAAATCTATACCAGCTCTCTCACGTAGGTGGGCCAGCTTCCTCATCTTGTGGTGGGACAGAGATCATGATTTTAAACTGAGCTCTAGAAACATGGGGCTTGTCCTGCACCAGTGGCTAAACTAAAACTCTTATTTTCCTATGTCACAGCCTTGTTTTGTCCTAGATCTGTGTGGAAGAGGTACTCCAGTGTCAGGTGAGAGATAGGACACTGAATCTTCATATCAAGAACAGCTTTCAAAGCCAAGCAAAAATAAATTTTGTTGTCGTATCTCATGGAATCCAGAACTATGTGGCCATGGTACAGTTAGCTTTTGTTGAAGCATTACCCCCAAGGAGTCTCTGAGTTGGGTAGCTGCATACCAGCACCCCAGCAGTATCTTGTGGGAGATGTGTACAGGCTCAGCCTCTGTGGCATTTGAGAGAAGGGGCAGTATAGCTGTCCCTGAATGCTACTGTCTAGGTTTACTAACCAATTTGACAAGATAGAGAAATTACTTTAAAAAAAAAAAAAAAAAAAGCCAAGCTGCAACTAAATAATAAAGGTCCTGTCTCCTGTTTAGATAAGTAACAGCTATGTACAATTGTGGTTTTGTAAAGACTTCTATCTAGTAATGTCAAAAGTGTATTGGATATTTGCTAATCTTTGATGTTTGTGAAAAATACTCTGGTTTATTTATTAATTTCACTTTTATCCTCTGTTGCCCTCTAATCTACAGCTGTAATATACCCTATCAGGCAGGGCATTTAGCTCACAGTA